GGAACAAAGACTCATGACAAATACGCCAAGTTTTAAACATGTCTGCTAAACAAGAAAACAAAAAGGGAAGCTTATTTACGCGAAGAGCTAGATATTATTGTATGAAATCATATATATATATATATATATATATATATATATATATATATATATATATATATATATATATATATATATATATATATATATATATATATATATATATATATATATATATTTATTTGTGTGTATTTCATCGTGTGGTAATGCTTAATGACTGTGTTCTACAAATGATTATAGTGGGATAGTGAGGGCGATCAAGCTAAAATGGGTGATTCAATCTTGTGACCTTGTGCAAAATAAATTTAATAAAATAAAATAAGTCGAGTAAATACAATTAAGTGTGACATTGATAAACAATAAAAAGTGGTAGTGGTTAACGAGCTAACGCTTACTCCACTTCATGCAAAAACACACTCTCTGTCTGTCTGTCTGTCTGTCTGTGACACACAAACACACATATATATATATGATAAAATATAGTTTTAACGTATGCTATATTTATGTGTTAGTGCTCAATATCTGTGAGAGAATGTAAATATAAAAGTGAACAGATGCGACAGTCAGTTTCATACTAAACGAAATCATTAGGCCAGATATATATATATATATATATATATATATATATATATATATATATATATATATATATATATATATATATATATATATATATATATGTATATGTATATATATATAAGATTGTAAATACAATTAAGTGTGACATTGATAAACAATAAACTTATTCTCCCGAGGGGTAATGGTTAACAAGCTAACTCTGTTCACTGCTTGTAACGCTTACTCCACTTCCTAAATAAAGAAACTCCCAAGCTCTGTCTGTCACACACACACACACACACACACACACACACACACATATATATATATATATATATATATATGATAAAATATAGTTTTAACGTATGCTATATTTATAGGCTAGTGCTCAATATCAGTGATAGTATGTAAATATAAAAGTGAACAGATGCGACAGTCTGTTTCATGCTAAACGAAATCTTTAGGCCAGTTTTATATATATATATATATATATATATATATATATATGAAATGTGCAAGAGTTCACAACTGACTCATTATTAAATTTAGGGACTAAATAGACAGACAGTAACTTTTTTTTTACAAATGATAGAAATGATTATACAAACATACACAGACTCTTCTTCCTTTCCTCTATCACTCCTCTTTTTTCTCGCTCCGACTCTGAAACCCTTTGCGTGCTAGTGGCTTCCCGCCTTGCTTGGAGTTGAATGCTTTATATATATATATATATATATATATATATATATATACTACCAGTCAAAAATATTTGGCAACCCTCTAAACTTTTTATTTCCCATCATCAAAGTGTTATTTGCTATAAAACAAGTTAAACACCACAATTATTTTATTATACTAAATACAAGTCTTCCTCAGCCACATTAAATACAACTTAAGTAAAAAAAAGAAACACACAAAAAACTTCTTAAACTTTTGATTAATCAAAATGACCCTTTTTGGCCACTATCACTGCTACACAGATTCTCAGCATTCTTTCCACCAAAGACTGCAGGTAGAGTGAAGATAGTTTTGCCCAGGTTTCTTGCAAGAGTTGCCAGAAGTGAGCCGCATTTGTGGCTTGTTTAGCTCTGACATTCTGTTCAAGTTCATGCCACACCAGTTCAATGGGATTTAAGTCCGCTGATTGCGCCGGACAAGACATCAGTTAAAGGACGTGCGGTTTCTCTTTGCTTTTAATGGCCGAGTTTACTTTTATGCTTTGGGTCATTATATTGCATGAGTACAGCTCCTTGACCCGCAAGCAGATCTCTAGATGAGAACACGTGATGCTGCAGTATGCTGTGATAGTCGGTCTGATTCAATTTGCCTGGTGGGAAATCCCTTACTTTGCAGTTGGTGTGATACAACTTTCACCATCTCTTCGCTGCACATGGACCCTCCTATTTGACCCAAAGATTTTGAACTTTGATTCGTCAGTCCAATGGACTTTCTTCCACTGCTCTATTGTCCAGTCTTTGTTCACCTTGACCCACTGGAGTCTTTTGACATTGTTTTGATTCCTCAACAATGGTTTCTTGACAGCAATTCTGCGATATAGGCCAGCTTCACAGAGTCTTCTCCTCACAGTGGATGTTGACATTTTTTTCACAACATTGGTTCAGTTGTGCGATGATGTTTAGAGTAGTCAGCCTTCTGCCATGCAACCTGGTGACTCTGATGAAATTGTCCTCTGCTCTTTTTGTTGCCTGTTGGTCTACTAGTTCTACTTTTGGTCTTGTATTGTCCCATTTCCTAATGTCTCCTAACAGTATCATCCAATGTAGTTCTGGTTATTGAAATTTCTTTGAATATTCTTCTTTTTTTAAAGTAATAATATCTTCTTATGTTCAAGTATAAGTTTACGTGTTTTGGGCATTTTATTGAGAAAAAAGTTTTGATCCAGAAGAAAGTTGCAAAATTTAGGTTTTAATTTAAACAAAATAAGAATAACAGATTTCACTACTGGACAAGGTACATTGGCAGCATCGGTAAAACAGGTAGTATTTAGCAATTAGTAATTCAACAGAATATAGTCTATTGTGAGTTCAAATGGTGGTATAATGTAACTTTTGGCAAACTTTTATTCATGCTCAGTACTAAAGAAGAAAAAACATAGCTTGAAATCAATTTTTTCAAAAGATATCTGGTTATACTAAAGTCAAAGTTACTAAGGAAGACTTGCATTTAGTCTAATAAATACAACCATTGTGGAGCTTAACTTGTTTCATTAAAAATAACACTTTTAGGATGAGAAATAAAAAAAATTTTGAGAGTGGCTAAATATATTTGACTGGTAGTACATACATACATATAAAATAGAACGTCTTGAAAAATGGTCATTACCAAGTAATTTCGAAGTCCGGGAAAACGAAGAAAAAATAGATATTAAAAGTTAGAGAATCTCTCTTTCTTTCTCTCTCTCTCTCTCTCTCTCTCTCTCTCTATATATATATATATATATATATATATATATATATATATATATATATATAGCAATTTTTTTTCAATTCAAATATTTTTTTTTTAAGACAACGGGCATTTTATTTGGTTTAATTTTATTGAACTTTTCAAAATTAAAATAATCATTCTCAGACAAGAATGAAAGTACAAAAAATATGGTCCACGCTTTCGACTTTCCTAAGTGATGATCAGAGTAAGTAAAGATAAATGGCAAATTACGTGGAACTACTGAATGTTGTGACGTAAGCAAAGAGCGTTGTGACGTAGGCAAAGAGCGTTGTGACGTAAGCAAAGAGCGTTGTGACGTAAGCAAAGAGCGTAAATGAGATGTCTTTTAGTGTGCGGGCTAGCGGAAGAATCCTGAGAAGGATTATTTTAATTTGGAAAAGCCGATCAGTAAAATTAATCGAAGCAAAATGGATGCTATCTATAATAATAATAATAATAATAATAATAATAATATATATATATATATATATATATATATATATATATATATATTATACGTTATATTTATAGGTACAATTTATTTAACTTAATGTTCTGTTTTCAATTAAACAATATTAGTTACTTTTACCGGCATGAATGTTCAAGAAATTTCGTAAAAAATATGTTTTCCGACAGGAATCGAAATTGTATTCCTATACGGAAACCGTTATTTGATCTGACGTGCTGTACTATTTAGCTACAGAGAAGCGTCTGGTTAGAACGCATATTTTCTACAAAATTTCTCGAACATTCAGGCCGGTAAATGTAATTAATACTGTTTAATTAAAAACGGAGTATTTAAATAAATTGTATCTATAAAAAATAACGTATAAACAGAAAATATATTAAATAATTGTCGAAGAATAATCCATTTCATTATATGTTGTTATTGTTTACGTTAAGATACGTTTCATGAGGAGACATGATCGATCGAGAGATTTTTTTTTATATACAGTAATTTGAAATTTGCTAACTAGACGCTTCTCTGTAGCTAACTTGTATAGCACGTCAGATGTATGTAATTAATTAGTGTATTGACAAGAACATGATTATCTTAAAAGTTATGCATTGGTTATGTAAAATAAATGTTTTTCTTCATTAGGCCTCGAGTTTTATCAATCTATCTAGCTATAACCATCTACCTAGTCTGACTTTTGTGCATTTCCTTGGGTGCCGATAAATATTATACAAATCTGTAAGTGATTTGCGCCGCCTTTATATAATTTAGCAACCATCCAGAGTGTTGCTTTACTGTGCATGGGTGAACAGATATTCTCTCTTGTAGTCACCCAGTCGGCAGTGAAACTATTAAGTGTGTTTGTGTACTGTGTGATTGTCGCATTTATATGTGGTTGTACTCATTCTCCATATCGTGAAAATACATTTTGCTTAAACATTGCATGACACCTGTTTTATCTCCTCTGGCTTCTGGCTTTTTTTTTTTTTAAGTTATACCGTTGTTAAAACGCCATGGGCGAAATTAAGAATAATGGAATGATTCGGGTGATTTCTATATCGAAGGAAGATTTTTCAAAATGTTTTGAAAAGTAAAACTGATGCAGCGGTAAAGACTTATATCCTAGGTAGGCTCTATTTTTCGTGAATATTAAATTGATACAATATATTCTGCAAAGATATTGTATATAGAAAGATGGCTGAATTCCGTTTTAGATGTCTACTTACCTTTCCATGAACAGACACCTATCAGTCGGATTACATTTGCGTGTTTTAAACTTTTGAGAAGGATGAATTCTGACCACAAATACTGGCGGTGAGTTCCTGATGATCCGTCTAAAAGAAAAAAAATATAAGGAAAAATATTTTATAAAAATATTTTATACATGATGTTTTCTGTTAACTTTAAGAGTGTAATAGAATGGCACACGGAGATTTTAATCTTAACAATGGCAACATTAGAAAGTGATGAAATTCATAAATTAACCGATATGTAAGCATACGCCCACATCACATTGAAATGCCGGTTCCCGTACGATCACTGAAGTTAAGCAACGTCCAGCATGGTCAATACCTAGATGGGAGACCGCTTGAGGATACTAGGCGCTGTAAGCTTGGGTGTGCAGCTGGTATAATGAAGAATAACTCGGAATTGTTAATCTGATAAGCGAGTTCTTAGGGAAGGTATAAATCCATCTCTGTCACCAGCTACGGATTAATTAATAAGACTTGTATCACTAAATCTTATATCCCCCCAAAAATAAAATGAAATTGCGTAAAAATAGTTAGATTTCGTCATTAAATAATCCATTACAGGTTGATATGCCACGAAACAAAAACAACCAAACCAAAATAACTTATTGGGGAGTTTGGTTTTATCTTCTTAATTATATACTTACTTTTTTGTTTATTTCAATGGTTTCATAGTTTTAATATTATCCTAAGTTATGGTAAACAAATTTAGACCAGGAATGGTCATTTTTTCACCTGCATACCGTCCTAAAAAGGTATTGATATTTGCGCTGATATGCCGTACCGTAGCCATTTCTCTCCCTCTAAAACGTATTCCTGAAGCCGTCTTTATAGAGAAAATTTTTTAAGCTTCTATTAGACTATGAGATTTTATGCTAATTTGTAAGTACAGTTCGATATTGTGGATTATTGCCAGTCAATATCAAGAGATCTATTCACGACTGCCCTGGAGTTTTCTACTATATTCAGACCTAACAAATGAATATATATATATATATATATATATATATATATATATATATATATGGTACAAGCAAAAAGATTGGGTGCGACTATGAATTTCTTTAAAAAACACCTTGAAATGAGATATATTGTTTTTTAAGTTAATGAAAAAATGTCAAAATTACCTAGTCTTAAACAGTGAGCACAATTTTTGGAAATTATGACTTCCTCAGTTTCCTGACCTCTCTCCGACTGAATTAGTATGGAAAGAATTGGAAGGGTGAGTTCGAAGAGAATGCCCAAAGAGTGAGAGTGAGCTTTTGCAATGTTTGAAGAATGCATGGAAAGTCTGACATCTAATTGCTTTACAAAATCTGTTGGATAGAATGCCAAGAATTTATAAAGCAGTAATTAAGGCAGGTGATAGTTACATTAACGCTGTTGTATGATTATATTTCTATAGTTGATGGCTACAGTTGTGGTGGAGCATCGCTTGTGCATTCGGATCCCCCCTCCTACGATTACAGAAGTCAAGGGGATGATGATAATGATCATTATGATGCTTATTTTTTGTCAAAATAAAAGTAAATACACTACTTAGAATGTTATTTTTTACTTTAAAAATACTAAAATATCTCATTTTAAGATGTATTTTTAAAGAAATGCATTGTGGCACCAAACATTTTTCCTGTAGTCTTTAAAATTAATTTAGTATGGTTATTTTACACAGATGAAAAAAAAAAACTACAACGTAGAAAAATTAGATCTATGAAAAAAATCATATAGGGCACATTTTTTTTCAAGGGCTGTATAAATATTTCAATAGTAACATGTTGGTTAACTTAGATGGTTATCAGGACATGCCTTACGTATCTGTTAATCTCAAAACAAGAAGAGATGGCAGTAAGGATGTGACAAATCGGTGGGGGGTGGGAATCATGTTTGGAGTAGTAATGTTAAACCAGGTATTTTCAGTCGATGTTACTTTATTAAAACGATGTTTGGTGACATGTATTGACTTTTAGGTACATTTGCACACTGCCTTGAATGAAAACAATTTATTTTGCGCATTGCCTTGCAGAAAAAAAAGTATTATTTTGAAAGAAAAAAGAAATACTGCGCATTGTTTTGAAAGTTAGTATTTCATTTACTCATTGAATGGAAGCAGAAAAATATATGTTGTACATTGCCATACCATTCCATTCACACATGGACTTGCAGGAAATCAATTCCTTTTGCGCATTGTCTTGCAGGAGGACAAATAAATTATCACATTTTCTTCATGGAATTTTTTTACGTAATGTGTTCAAAACAATTACTTTGTGCATTGATCTGCAGTAAATCAATTATTTTTGTGCAATTTCTAGAAGGAAAATAATTACATTCCCGCATTGTCTTGAAGGAAGGATGTTCATTTGCGCGCTGTCTTTAAGGATTACTTGAAAAGAAAACAATGTCTTTTACCCATTTTATTGCAAGAAAATAATTGTTTTGAAAATTACAGTAGAAAATAATTGCGTCCATTTTTCACATTATCTTGACGAAAAACAGTTCATTTTACCCATTGTCTTAAAGGAAAACAGCTTTTTATGGACATTATTTTGAAAGAAGACAATTCATTTTTCACTTTGACTTGAAGGAAAACAGTTCATGTCACGCATTGTCTTCAGGAAAAATCATTTTGAGTACTTTTGTCTTCTGCACATTGTCTTGAAAAAAATCAATTCCTCTTGCAGATTGTCTTGAAGGAAATCAATTCCTTTTGCGCAAAGTCTTGAAAGTTATCAATTAGTTTCTGCATTGCCTTACAGGAAATCTATTCTTTCGCTAATTTTCTTGGAAGAAAGAATTGCATATTGCCTTACAGGAAAATAATTACTACTGCACACTATCGTGAAATAAAAAACATCATTTACGTATTATCATGAAGCATTGACAAAACAATTTCTTTCATGCTTCATTTTTATGGAAAACAATTGTTTTTAGCATTGTCTTATTAGTAAACAATTAGATTTTTAAATTGTCGGCGGGAAAACACTTGTTTTTTGCATTGTCTTACAAGTAAACAATTAGATTTGAAAAATGTCGACAGGAAAACAATTGTTTTTTTTTCGCATTGTCTTACACACAAACAATTACATTTGCAAATTGTCTTACGTGGAAAATAATTCCCTTTGCCTATTGTCTTACACGAAAACAATTAGATTTGCAAATTTCCTTGCAGTAAGAAAAATCTTTTTGCGCATTGTCTTAAAAGAAATGAATTTCTCTTGCGCATTGACTTGTTGTAGAAAAAACATATTCACCCATTGTTTTGAAAGTAAACCGTTATTTCCCATTGTCTTACAGGAAATCAATTCCATCTGCGCATCTTCCTGGAGGAAAATAATTGATTTTCTGTGTTGTCTTTCAGTAACATTTTTGTTTTAAGAAAATATTACTTTTGCACTTTTTCTGGAAAGAAGAGAATACTTTACGAGCGTTTTCTTACAGGAAAACAATTCTGTTGTGTATAACCTTGAAGAAAAACACTTGGATTATAGTCTTGAAAAAATACAATTATTTTGAGCATTGTCTTGAAGGAAAACATTTCTGTTGTGTATTGTATCGAGCAAAAACAAAAACATGCATTGTCTTGAAGGAAAATATGCTTTTTTTTCTATTTTGCTCATTGTCTTAAAGAAAAACAAACCGTTTTAAGCGATTGAAGCTTCTGAATGAGATGAGCTTTTTGGAGGTTGTACAGCGCCTACTTTTGTTATTTCTGTCTGTAGCAATTCGTAATACACAGTACAAGAATAAAACAACTACCCAGACATCATATTTTCTTGATAAAAAACAGGCTTTTTAGATTCTGATTTGGATCAGTTAATGGATAGCTAGCAGACTGGATTGCCATACCACGCCCATTTCGCATCGCATGACTGTAATCAATTAAAAACAAAAAAACAAAAAACAAAAAACAAACAAAAAACGGTTCATTTATTTTGCATGAGAGAAGGGACACAAATAAAGTGATTTGTTACTCTTTGTTTCGCTTAATGAGTTTCTATAAAGTATCAACTTCCCTCACATGTATTTTTTCCGATGCAAAGTCTTAATTTCGTTGATTGTGTTGAACCTTAATGCAAACATTCAATACTTTCAAAATGGATTAGATTATATTTACCAACATCAAAGCTTATCATTCCTCCCTTGCAAGGTACATCTTCAAATAACTCATTTCCAGATAAAAAGCTCCTAAACCATTTAAAAACAGTATCGTCATTAACTCCCTACAACGCTTGGATTTAAGCTTTGTGTGGACATTATTATTATAAATAAATAAAAATGAAAATATAATAATAATGACTATTAGAAATCAAATAAAATGTAACAAATAACATGAAAAACTTATTTAAAATAAATAAAATAAAAATAATAAAACTCTCCCATCATGCAACAAAAACTGTTCCTACGGGAAATACGTACATCCCGACAAAAGACGTTGAATTCAATCTCTTAGCTAACAAACTTGGGACAGTCAAACATACGTCCAACATCTCTCTCTGTGACAATACGAAGTAACTTCTTCCTTTCGTTACATGCAACCATGAAACATTTGTAACCAAAAATACACACACCAGTACGCATAAAAAATAAATTGTATGATATTAATGTACAAATTAACATGTCTTTACTGGTATCACTGCGTATATTTATTTCCTGTAAAATATGCTTTTATTTCCAGTGAACACGAAGGCTATTCCTGCTGCTATGATGTGAGTGAGCCAACAGGTTCTACTGGCTCTCTCCGCTGTATTTGTTTTAAGTCAGAAATATTTTTGTAGTGACAATTACCGTATGTATCCGTTCAGTGAACGGCTAAGATATCGCTTTTATCAATATTCGAACGAAAAATATACGTGTGCTTTAAAAAAGTAATAAAAAAAAATTCCGCCCTCAAATATAATTTCTACTTTTCATTGTATTTCTTCTTTCGAAACTTACCAGGAGCAAAAAAAAAAAATTTTTTACGCAACTAATTGTTCTTTTGTATTTACTGTACATAAACGGTGTGACTAAAATGAACATCATGCTTTTAAATAATAAAAATATAAAATATTGTAAAATCGACATTTCTTAGTTACGTATTTCAAAATGCAGTTTTGTGGGACTACTTTTCAGGCCTATATATCTTCAGGACTTTCGCATAACTTGACTTTGACCGAAACTTACTAGTAAAAAAAAATTAATCGTTACAATCACCTCCAATTAAAATCTTCATCTCTTAACTCATGTACCTATTTGGGTTGTATTGGTGGATTAACATGTATTAAAATACATGTTAATCCTTATTGGTTTATGTAATGTTGAAATCTGATTTTATTTTACTTGAGTCTATAGGTAAATATTGGTTGGTTTTATACTTAAGTCTAC